GTTTTGATAAGATGACCTATCTTTTGACCTATTACAACTTAATATACATACATACATATATATATATATATTCTTGAAAAATTGTAAATCGAGTTGGATACACCAACTTGATGTTGTAACTTTCAAATAATTTGTTTTGATGGGAACTCGTTTAAACAAAAATTAGCGTGAGCAACATCTCAAAAGAGTTTATGTCTTAATGGGTCAACTATAACGGATATGATCTAGCCTCTTTAATAAGGTTTTGGCAAAGTTGTCTATTCCTAAAGACTTGTTAAGTTTACGGACTCGTTTAGATTACCAAAGAGATAATTTAGCCTCTAACTTTAAGAATAGGAGGTATGAGAAGGTCATTTCATAATTTCATATGCATATGGTGAGTTCCAATTCAAACGGGAGTCCAGATGAGTATTAATAGACTTTCGTTACACTTGCCATCCAAATCTCCTTATCTAAATTGTAAAGAGTCTTAGCTCGGGTTTAGAGCTTTTGCAGGTTTTCCTTACGGATAGATGCATCCAATGCAGTTCACAATGATGAAAATGAATTGCATAAAGCAAATAACTTGGAATTAAATAAACAATAAATAAAACTATGGAAGATAAAGAACTTGAACATAAATGGAAATTATAATTAAAGAGATAAACTTAAAATAGACTAAACCTATGATATAACTCGAATCCCTCGTGGAGTCACCATGCTGTCGCAACCCTACATTATAGGACTTTCAAATATTAGGTTAAGGGAAAAGAATTAAAAAGGTTTTGAAATCACTACCTAGTATTGAAAGAGATTAGGAAATCTAAAAAAGACATTGGATTTAGAGATTTTGAGTAAAGAGTTGCTTATGCTTTTGAAAAGATACAATCATCCAAATGTCCATTTTTCAAGCAAAAGGTATTCAGTTTATTCTAATTCTAAACTTATCTTTTAAAAATTATGTTTGCCAAATTATTTTTCAAGTCTATTTCCAAACTTGTTTGTCATCCACATTAAATTGATTTTTTTTTTACTTTTTACTATAGAATCATATTAAATCGATGTCGGGCCTCAAAATTAGGAGTCTCATCAATTTAACATTAGATCTAATTAATTCTTAACATGATTGATATATCGAGGAACAACTTAGTAAGCTAAGGTGATAACTTGGGATGTAGAATAAACTAGCCCCTACCTAACCCTAGCTAATTCATTTCCTTTTGTTTCTTTGTTTTCTTTTACTTCAATTTTTTTTAATTAAGTTATCGAGACCAACACCCTTCCTTTTTAAATAGAAGATTCGTGAGCTTGAATTAATTTTTTAATTAACCTAAAAAAGAAATCTTTTTATTAATTATAACCAAAATCCTATATGAAATGAAATCGTCTTCGATCCTAGAATCTAAAAGACTCGATAGTTTCATATCCTATAAGATAAATGCAATAATAATAAAAATAAATTAAATAAAATACCAACACACATCTTAAATTTTAAAATTTTGAAAATAACTCAAGGACAGGTAGTATAAGCTAATATAAAAAATTAGAATATAAAAATACTTGAGGACATGTTACACATTTAAAATACCACGACAATCAATTTTAGTTTGACAGATTCATTGTTTCCCTAGCCGACAAGATGATTTAAATGGGCAACCATCCTATGTCCTAAAAAAATGAAATTTCATAGAGATTTAGGACGGATAGATGATATTCATATATAAAAAAATAAGGAGATAAAAATATTTAGAGATGCCTCACATGTACAAAATGTGACATAAATTATTTCGATTGGAGAAATCATTATTGTTGTAACAAACAAGATGATTTCAATGAGAACCCATTCTAAATCCTAAAAATATGAAATTTCATACATGGATTAGATATAAATAGATGATGTTAATACAAAAAAAAGGTAAAAAGAAATCAACAATCTGTACCAAAAATACAAGCACAAAATAATAGTTATTTTCGACTTGAAAAATTAAACTGTAGTAGCCAATAAAATAACTTAAATGGAAAACCATCTCATATTATAAAGTTTTGAAATTCAACATATGAATTATAGACAAGTATACGGTGTTTATACAAAACTTTTAGAGCATAAAAATACTTAAGGACTTGCTAAACATTTAAAACATGACGAGTTGCTATTTTTTACTCAAATGATTGCCACTACAATGACCAATAAGATTATTTAAATGAGAATCCATACTAAATCCTAAAGATCTAAAATTTTACATATGGATTGGATACAAGTAGATGATGTTCCTAAAAAAATCAAAAACTAAAAACATATAGAGGTATGCCAAGCAAGCAAAACACCTGTAAGCATCCATATTCATTAGAGTTTAGGTTGACTATGAGATTTATTTGTATCAATAGACATCCAAATATATTTTTGCCTACTAAGATTGATAATGGATGAAGTAAAAAGAGTAAAATATTATCTATTAAGGTTAAAAAATGGTTAAGAAGCTCAAGGTTGATAAATTAGCTTGTTTCCAAACTTATTGGGATGCTTGGATGATGTTTTCTCCTTCTTTTTTCACTTGTTCGTCCTTTTTTCTCTCCAAAGTCTTTTTTTTTCTTTCTCTCTTTTCTCTCTTACTCTCACTCTTTCTCTCTCAAAAAACATATTCATCCTTTAAAATGCTACTTTCTTTTTTCTTCGTTTTTATCTTACCCTAGCTTTATTCTCTACCCTAAGATCTTCCTCTCTTAATCTTATTCCTTTCATTTGGATGTGTACGGGGCACTCCACCTCGTCCCTTTTTTCTCTCTCTCTTATTTGCATGTTTTTTTGTATGTTGTCCTTACAAGATTAAGAGTGAAAGGAATTAAGAGATGTTAATGATAAATTTTGTTATCTTGTGTTTTTGTTTTGAGTGTAGGAGAGATAAAGTTGATACATGAGATGTGGATGTGGATAAAGATGCCAACAAGATTGATGCATGACATATGGATTGACTCGCACAATTTTTAGATTATTCATAATTAAAACCTTTAATAAAATATGAAAATAATTCTATTTTTGGCTTTTTCAATTTTTTTTTTGTGTTTTCATCTTCTTTTTTCTATTTTTTCTATTTGTTATTTTTTATTTATTAATTAAAATTAAAAAATAATCCTAAGAAATTAAATTAATAAAAATTTATAAAATTACCTAAAAATAATGAAAAATCAAGAAACTATGCAACATGCAATTTTTAATTTTTAATTTTTTGAATTTTATACAAAAATAAAAATTTATGAGGGAAAAAATAGGTTATGACATCTATTAATTTCAAGTTTTTGTTCAACTTTATAGTCTATAATTTGCATACTTGTTGTTAATTTTAGATTAGTTGATTGTTGTTGATTGCATAACCGTTAAAATATTAGTTTCAATTATTATTCTTGCCATACATTCGCATTTCGATGTTTCAACTCAAACATCGTAGGTAGTCCGGAACCTCTTCCAAGGGATTCTTAAATCATTGGATTTGAGTATAAGTAGTAGTTATTTTCATTTAACCATTTAAGTACCTTTAAGATCAACAATAAGATAACCTTTAAGCGTTTAATTTGGAGTGTAAAAAATAAACTGTCTTATAAACCGCCTTCCAACCAACTTGTAATTTTTTTGTTTGAAAGTCTTTTTAATTAAGTCCGATATAGAAGAATTCAAAATATATATAGGTATTTATTTCAAGTTGGGGTAGTTATTTGTAGAAATAATTGCCATTAAGGGGGCGAGGATTAAGTTATGGAAGATAAAAAAGTGGTCAATTAGTGAAACTACTACCAAGAATAGAAAAGTCATAAGCAATAGTCAAGTGATAAAATAAATGACCAAAAATAAATAATTTAAAAGATGATAGCAATTATCAGTATTTATTGGATCTTTTAGATATATGTAACTTAATAAAGGAAAGGGTGTCCAAAAAAGAATACTATAGCATATGTGCCTATAATTTCCCATGATTTTTTTGAATAAATTTGAGTTTAGTTTATTGAAACATGGAGTTACAAATTCAAGTTAAAGAGAATTAAAAATTTGAAACATAATAACAAATAGTTATAATAAATAAGTTTGGAATGAAAATAAAAGGATCAAAATAATTAGTAATAAATTATTTTATATCGTCACTTAACCAACCAATCATCAATCATTTGAATGGACATCTAATTTTATATATAATGGTTTCATTGGCAAGTATTAAGATGTTGTTTGGAAAGAATTAAAGTAAAAAAAAAAAATGCTCGACAATTTTAGAATTAATATAGCATTTATCAATTTGATTAATGATTGACATCGCAATCCTTCGGAATCAAAACATGATACATTAAATAACTTAGTCAATTTAACATTATATGATTATCATGAAAATAGGTTCAAATATTCATATATATATATATATATATATATTTTTTTTTCTTTCGTTTCTATACTTTAGGTTTTAAAGTTTAGAGCAAGAATGTTACGAATTTCAATATTCACACAAGTCAAAAATTTATAAAAAACAAAACAAAGCAAAATTTTTAATGCATTCAATATTTAGGGTAAAAAACAATAATCTTCGTGATTTTGCATGTATGATTAATGTTTAATGTCTCATTAAAAGAGCTTAAACAACATGGATCAATGCGTCATAAAATTGATTAGTTGGGAAAATGTTGAAATGTTTTGAAGATCGAAGACTACTTTATTCTTCATTACATAACTTAGGAACTGATTTGTACTTATCAAAATGAACCTCTAAAAATCATGAAATTCAGTCGCAAAAACAGTAAGCAGATCCCATATAAAAACCTCATCCCACGTGTTCCCATAACAACCTTTCAACATGTCACAATCTCATTGCTTTTCTGCCAGCTTCTTCTAATCATCTCTCGCCACGTAGTTCTTCATCGTGCAAGTGTCTACACCGAATTGCAACCCACACTCTCCTTCTTTCTCTCTCAAAACCACCATTAATCATTTATCGAAGATCTCCAAAACACAAAAAGATCTAATCTCTCTCACTCTCTCTCTAACCATGACATCAGAGACAACGTCCACACCCGACCCGAATGTCAATCCGGTTCCAACTCCAAACCCGACTCCAAGCTCCCTAATCCACCCCCGCCGGGAGCCATTCGAGCATGGACTTTTACCAATTCCCAAACTAATCTTCCCCGACCTGACCCAAACCCTAACGCAACTCAAACAAAAACTCGCTACTCATAACCGGGTCAACTCATCCTTACTCGCTGACTCTCTCCAGATCTCCACCGACCACGCGAGGCTGATCCTCGACACGCTCGCGTCGGTTCTGAATTCTGAGTCCGACCCGCTTGTGAAAGCCCGCCCCGATGAGGTTGATTCAGCTGGTGCTGATTTGCGTGATCTGATATTGTTTCTATATATCCAGTCCTACAAGAAGTTGTTGCCGAGAACGCATAAAGATGCTGCTGCTGTTGCTGATGTTTGGCCGTCAACTTCAGCTTTTGATGGCTATCTATCGGCTTTATCGCCGCTTCAGGTATTTTTCCGTAATTGGATTGATTTTTTTTTAATTTTATAAATGCTGGTGTTTTTTGAGATGATTACGTTAATTGGGATTGTAATTGCTGTGTCCGTGATTAATTGGAAAGAAAAAAATTATTTTCTTGTTGATTAGGTTGGTGATTGTATAATGTGATAACATTTAGGAAAAATTAATGCTTTCTTATCGTAATGATCATTGCAATTGAAGAAAATGTGCGTTTTTCTATTTTGTTTTGGGTTATTTTGGCAAGATGTCGATTCGCATATGATTCCATTTCCGTACTCTTTTATCTCGGGTTTTGCATTAATTATTTTGTTTTCTGAATTTCTGGTTTGATAGATTGGACGATAGGTTTTGTAGACCATCTGTGTGTACAGCTTCATTCTGTAGAACGGTTGATATGGTTAGCTGACGCTCTTAGTATTCGCCTATATGGTGGATTGACTAGAGTTCCTACAGTGTTGGCAATGAGTGCTTGTTGGCAATCTTAGATGCATCAGCTTTTGCTAATGCCTTTGGTGTTTAGAATGCTGCAAAAAATTCCAATTTGAAAACCCCAAATCGTATGGATTAAATTTTGTTTTCTTTGTTGTGTTTGCATGTATGTAATGTAGTGTACTTCAACCAAAATCTGAAACTTGGTCTAACATTTTATGGTTGTTTGTAATAGCTATTGTTGGAAATTTTTATTGTAATTTGTTTATGTTGATTTTTAGTTGGTGTTTCTTTGATTGCAGCTTGTACGTAGCAACAGCCGTCGGTTTATGCCATCACAGGCTGATGAAGAGGCTCATCAGTTGTCCTACCTACAAAAACACATGGCTAACATTCTCTCTCTTTTGGCAGAGCCTGTGGAAGGTGAAGGAGAAGGAGAAGAGTCACTGGTTTGTAAAAATAGTTGTTCTCTATAGTTTGTTAAATTTAACTTGGACCAATTATTTTGTTTTGCACGCATGCTCTAGGCATCATAACTTTCTGCTCATGAAAATATATTTCCAGAATAAATATGATTTTGAAAATGTTTTAAGGTTTTAATTGTGAATTTTACTGACACAAATTAATGCTTGGACCTTTTGGTGTCTTCAAAACTTGTTTCTGCTTGTTGGTTTCTTTTTCGTCATGGTTTTAATTTGCTAGTTTAACTGCATTTTATTAGGTTTTGTCTATGGAAGGATTTGAGCACCTTGGATTTCTGGTTCAATTTGGTGACAAGGGATCTGAAGTGGTTACCTTAAGCCAAGCTGCCCCATTTTTTGCCAATTCGGATCCTGACATGCCTGCAGTTCCTGTTCCTGCCACACAAGTCCATGATTGGATTTCACAGAATATAGCGTCTGCTTTGGAACATATTACTGAAAGAATTTCTGCAAAAGAAAATGGGCCAACCAATTCATCTGATCCTGATATTGCCATGGCTGATGCCTGTACAAGTTCACTCAAGACCTCGCCTAGTGCTAGAGGTTCATGTTTTATTGAGGGGATCTCTAAGTCATCGTTTATGAAGCAAGCATCTGATCTTAAAGGTTCTTCTTCTGTAAAGGTTAGCTTTGAAATGAATATTCATCATTCTGTGTGTCTGTTCCTTCTTAAAAATAACCAGATAGCATTTTTGTAAATTTATGATTTCTTAATTTGAAATTATTGCTTATAATAGGGATTATTAATGATATGTGGCAGATTTTTTAGCTTAGTTCAATACAATTCTGCTTGACTTAGAAGCATGTTTTTTTCTTAAAATGCATGGCAGGTTTAACCCTTGGTTTTTTAACGTGTCAATCACATATTTAAACTTAGATCTGCTTGTAATTCTGATGGGATCTGAATTTATGAATTTGTTTATGAACTTTGGTTGTGGATGTGCATGACTTCTCTGAGGTTTGTATGTGTTGTCTGGACCAATTTGCACCATGCTACGATGAAACACTATCATGTGAACTGATGTGAACTATCTCATGAAGAGAAAAGAGCACTTCCTTTTTTGACTATTGTTTTGGGGAACATTTATTACTTACTTTGTCTATGCAGCATAGTTTTAAATTTGTTTGCTTCAAGATTGTATAGTGTTTTGACCATTTTAACATTGTTGTGTGGTTGCAGGTTCTGAATTGTCATGATTCCGTCCTTTACATCTTAGCACCTCTGAGATATGCTACCATTTATGGATGCTCTGATGCCACTATAGTTCTTGGAGCTGTTGGCAAGGTAGTAAGAAACACTTGGTTTTTGGGAGTGCTGACTGTTTCAGTCACCTAGTGTTCATATCTGCTGGAAACCTTTCTCTAGTGGTAGTATTTTTAGTCACCAAATGTACCTATTTTGATAAATGAGAAATTGAATGGTATAAATTTCTTAACAATCAATTTGTCACCACATTGTTGTCTATGAGTGTATATGCAAGTGTATATGGCATTATCATCCATTGCGTTCAGCAGTTCTTGTTAATTTTTCATGTGTTGATGTATCACTTGATATTTGTGTGAAGAATATTTAACGAGGAAGCTATATTTGTTAATATTCTGTATGGAGAGTACCTTTCCACATTGTATTTTCCTAGCAGTGATTGCTCTTAGTAGGTGATTGGTCCTGCAGTGTGTGCTCATCTGTTGAAAACATATATTTTATTGTGAATTTTGCTTTGTCCCGCACCCACCCCTCCAAAAATAAATTGATGTCCCTTTCTCCGGTTAACCTACTAATGATTTTCCTATTATCTAATCATCAACCCATGTTGAGGTTTATGGGTTTTTTCTGGATAAAAAATGATGCCATACATCTGTTTCAATGTCTTTTACAGGCTGTAAGGATTGAACATTGTGAGCGAGTTCATGTTATTACAGCAGCAAAACGAGTCTGCATTGCCAATTGTCGTGAATGTGTGTTCTTTCTAGGGGTAAATCAACGACCACTAATGGTTGGTGATAACCACAAGCTACAGGTTAGCTTTTGACCATTCTCTTTTTGTGCAGTAAACTGTTAGCAGTCATGGCCATTTTATGATTCCACATTATAAATACAGACTTACAAAGGAGAGAAGTTTCTTGTTGATGCAAGTGTCCACTTACCTTTCTTGTTCTGTTTTGAGCATAAAGAAAATTTAGTCATTTTAGAACCTCATTGTGGTTTTCTAGATTCTTTTTAAGTTTGGTTACCAAATCAATTTATTTTTGGAGCTTTTTGCTGATATTTCTTGATCTTGGTTTTTTCTAGATGTGGTTTTTATGCTCTTTAACCTCACTCTCTAACACGTGCATTTGCTATGATGTGATTTGTTTATTAAAAAAAATGAAACCTCTGTACTTTTGCATCCTATGAAGCAGTTCATTGGTTCTAATTGAACATCCTTTCTCCCTTTTATATTTCAAGTACTACTGAAGATTAACTCGGAGAGCATTCTATTATATTTTAATCAGGTGGCACCATATAATACATTTTATTCAGAGTTGGAGGAGCACATGGATTATGTAGGCATTAACGCAACTATCAACAGATGGGATGAACCTTTGGCCTTGGGAGTGGTTGATCCCCATGATTCGTTATCCCATCCTGCTGGTGTCTCTGATGTACAAGCTGAATCAGCTGCACGGGTAGATCATGACCAATTCACAAACTTCCTGGTATGATTTATACTTCCTTGTGTCAATTTACTGAAAATTGGTGCGTTTGTTTGTTTGTTTTAATTACTTTTGTTGATTTAATTATTTATTTCGGTTGAATTTCACAGTTTTAATTTGATATTCTGCATGTATAGTTTGATGTCCAGATTATTTGAAATCATCATTTTGTTTTTTGCGTCTTTTGCATTCTCTATTGTTAATTGTTTAAATCCCCCCCCCTCCTTCCTTTTTGTTTGTTTGTTTTTCCTTGGGTTCTTTGGGGATGGGGGTTGGGTATTATTGACTGGGGTCGCGCTTTCTATTCCTTTTTGGACATCCATCACATGGAATTCCATGTTTCTCTTGGGATTAATTTTACTTATGGAAATGTTCATGTGTTTTTTTGCCCTCTTGATTAACAGATTCCCAACTGGTTTGGAGGTGAATCCCCAGGGTCAACTAAAGATAACCCATTTCAATTACCCGAGGCTTATTTGGCAGCTCAGCAGAGAAATGTATGTGCACTAGCTCTCAAACTGGCTACAACAAGATGACCTTTCTTTTTCGTTTATTTTCTTCTGGATAAACATTTATAAGATGATAGGAGAGCTATACAATTGTGTTTTGGCTGTGCTGCATATGGTTCATGAGTTTGGATTATGCCTGTGTTGCCTCTTGCCAATGTATTATGCTTGCTAGTTTTTGGTGTTTGATTAAGTGTAATGCCCCTTTTCTTTTCCAGCAAAAGAACTTGGGAGAGACAAAGCAATTATTGAGGGAAGCTCCTCTTGAAGAAAATCAGAAGCGGGAATTGTCAAGTGCACTTCACCTATTATTTAAAGACTGGTTATACGGTAGTAATCATTACCTTAATTCTTGTTATTTCTTCATTAAAATAGTAATATGCTAGAAATGTATATGTTTTTGAGACAGAATGTATATGGTTGATTCAACCATTATAAACTTTTCAACATTCTGAAATCAAAAGTTTACATATATGAATAGACACACATACACATAAGGTTGTGTGGGTGTGCAAAAGAATATAAGCGTCTTGTTTCCTTCATTTAATTTTATTTACGTATGTGGTTCTTACATCCCTGTGTTAACAGTCTCTGTATTATTGATGCGATTCACACATGTGTTTTCATTGTTACTGATAAAAGAAATGCAGTAGTGCATTATTTTTCAGGTTTTATAGATATAGCTTGCATGGTTTATTAGTTTGAGGAAAAATGTTTGCTTTGGTCATGTAGCTTACTTTTGAATCATTTTGTTGGTTATTTCTCATTGCATTACTAGAATTGCCATTCACCTCTTTATACCAAACTCAGTACTTCTAGAGAAGAGGTCTTAAATTGCCATCCATCTCGTTATAGCAAACTCAGCACTTCTAGACATGAGTTCATAAATTGCATTTCTTGAATTTCTGTATGATATTTGTTTCAATCAATGTGTATTGCTTGCCCGGGAAAATTGGTGGAGGGAAATAAATTGGTAGGATAATATTTGATGCTGTAGAAAGGTACTTTCTTACTATTGTAGGGAATAAGTGGTAGATATTAGCATTTAGTACCCCTTCTCCATCTAGAGTTAATTGAGATGGATGAGTTTTATGGGGTCAGATTATGTTCATTGGAAGGTGGGTTATAAGGGTACCCATCAGGTATTTCATTTTACAAAAGATTCACCGTTCTAATGAAAGTAGCCACATTGATATTTCATTTTACAAAAGATTCACCTTTCTAATGAAAATAGCCACGATGCTTGAGAACTCAGGTGGAGGTTTGTTGAAAGAAGGTAACCTTGGAGTGTTGGCAGCTTTATTAAAATCAAGTTTGTTAAGTGAATGGAATATCTTGCTTTTTGACGGATCTAAGATAAGATTCTAATGTGATTGAAGTTCAAATTAGTTTCATGTGAAGGTTTGAAAAATTAGAAGTTGGAACTCTCTTGTCCTCCGGTTAGCCACGGAAGTGCTCATCCCACCTAACAACACTTATCTATACGCACTTCATCTATCATAGCTTGTAAACCATCTATTATATTGATACCGTATCGATGTTAAATACTGGCAACTCTATTTGTTACTGTATGCTATCTAATGTGAAAGTCTGTATTCAGAACTTTTAATGCATATATACTAACACAACAGATGGGATGTTTCTACAAGAAATTTAACGGAGTTGTCATCGGCTTTTTTATGATGTTACAGCTTCAGGAAATATCAGACAGCTTTACTGCCTACAAGGTGATTGATGTTGAATGAGAGATGATTGTGTGGTGCAATCAAGGATGTTTTCAGAAGGAAGCTTTCCGGTGCTCTTTCTGTTTCAATGGTATATCAATTGGTAGTAGATAGAGGCAGCTGAGAATCAACCATATGTACTTTGGTGCTTTGGAGTGGACATTTATCCAGTGACATTGCTGCATAGAATGCATTGGATATGCTAATCTCAGTGTAATATTTTTTGGAAAGGAAATTTTACTGCAATATTTGTCGATTTAGGTTCACAATCTTGTGAAATTTTTCTTTTGCCCTGGTTCTTCTTCCTGCCTTTCTCTCACCATCTGAGTTATTACCTTTAAAATACTGGATTTTCCTTTTTAAACTTCGAAGTTTTCCCCATTGCTCGGTTAAAATATTTAGTCATTTGTTGTTATGAGTGTCCTATTTGATGAATTGCAGGTTGCTGCTGAGTATGGGATGGGATCTTGGACACCATTGGTATGGCAATATCAGTCGGCAGATTAAAAGAACCATCAGAAAAAAGTGAAGAAGCATCTCTTCAAATTTGTTCTGGGTCTAAGCTAGAGTACTTTTGTTGCATTGTACGGTAGCTTACTCTTCCGTTTTCGATTTAACCATCCGAGTATTTAGCGAAGCCCTTTTCAATTGACGACCTCAAAGTGTTAACTTGTACAATCATCATGATATAGATCTGGACTGGATTTTGGAGAGGCGGCGTCTGGTGATGTAGATAAACACTTTGGAAGTCAACTCATTGAAGTTAGCAAGATTTTTCCTTTTCCTAAATAGCCAAGAACAATCTCTAATTTGTGAAGATTGCCTAGCGTTCTAATTTTCATATCAAGGCTTTTGATGGATCGTATATTAACAAATCCGGTTAGGTGAGCAAATTGAAATGAGTTTTCATTGTTAGTTCTTAATTTCTGACGTGCTAAAACTCGAAAGAGCAAGGGTAAAATCCTCAACAGGAAATATCTAACATGCGAAAAAAATGAGCTCGATTAGCGTTACATACCACTAAATATAGCTCTTGATTATAACATTCAATTGCACAAAGAAGGTAGTCGCTAATCGTTAAAAATTACATGACCGCCGACCTGAATGCCATTAACTTCTTTGTCCTGTTCATTAGGATCTAATGTAGCTGGAACTTAAGCACCTACATTTCCTGGATCGTGTCACCGTTTATACTTGCAAAACTTGGGATTATCACAGCGGCTAGCTGACTAGCTCGGTGGGGCGAGTTGAAGTAGCTTTTCTGCTTGCTCTGGGAAGAAGGTGATGAATAGATATGCACCTATACGCATTAGATAGTTAGAATGGAGAAATTGTTGAAAGGCCTCGACCACATCATCATGCAAGCTCTATAAGTTGTTGGACTTACAGATAAGTACAGTTCCAAGAACTGCTGAGATCTTGCCTTGAATTGTGATCAAACCGGCTTTGCCAGCATCTTGCAACTCAGTAGAACCTTCAGAATCAAATGTTCCTGAACAGAAAAAAAAAACCTTCGTTTCCCTTTGCTTTGCATACATGATTATTGCTTGAGAAAGACGTGTTGGAACCAGAGTTCTAACCTGGTTTTACAGATTGAAGCCCTGATGTTACACATGCTACATTGTTGTAACCAGCTGCCTCTAACTTCTTGGCTGCTGCCGTAGACCTTGACATTAAAGCAAACCAAGTCGTGTCATATAGTTTCCAGGCAAGGTAAATTCAAACCAATGCAGCCATTAAAAAAAAAAAAAGAAAAAAAAAAGAAGAAGCATGATGAAAGTAGATATGGTGTTGCTACTCAAGCTGGCAACAGCAATACCACCTCAATAGGATAGGAAGCATAAGGAGAGATAAAATCATGAGTAAAAAACTATGCCATGGTAGATCTACCGAACCGAAGATACGTAATCAGGAAAATATTTTGTCATTACTCTCTTTTCTTCATAAAAAATTGAAGCGATATGAAAGTAGATATGGTGTTTCTCATCCAATGCCCCTATCCTACAGCAACTTCAATCAAACATCACCTCACTTGTGCAATCAATGTTTTTGTTCGAAGACACTGAACGTAACTGTGGTATCGTAAACTTGAATTTTGAACTACATCTTCCAGACTCTCCAAGAAACCAAGCTCACCCTAAACGTTTCTGCCCTATTATTAACAAATAAACAATCTATGTATCAGATTCATATATTCTGGACCTATCACCTAATTAAAAATCTTTGTTAGAATTTACACATTTCTCATTATCTACAATGCTGCAAACCACAATAACTTATATGCCACAAAAGAGGGAAACAGAATAACAGAACTCAACATGGAGTACAATCGCGGCTTCTCTGAGTCCCTTAATTCATGGACCCTCAAACTGGTACGATGCAGCAAAATCCCAACACAAGAGCAAATACCAATTGAAAAATACTTCAGCATCATTAGGTCATATCATCAGTGGCAGATCAATAACTAACCTTAAGCCTTCCTGACATACAACTAACAGTTTACTTTCAGGTGAAAGCTGACTCTGCACAGAGTCCACAAATTTATCATTGAGCTTAGTAAATGGCAAGCCGAAGAACAAACCGGAGAAATTGTTGTGCACAGTCCTTTTTATTACTGTGCCTGCATAAAATTATTCCAAGGGCATGAGCAAAAATGTACTCTAGCAATTACAGAAACAAAGGAAGAGGATTTACCAAAGTCATTGTCTTGATTCTCGATAAAAAGAGGAACCTGATAGCATGATTTTATATGAGCTCGTTCATATTGAGTTTTGTCTCGTACGTCAAGCACAGCATATCCGTCATCTCTCACAAGTTTCTTTGCTTCATCTGCATCCACAAAATTTACTTCTGCTCTAATTCCACAATTTCTGCAGCGACTTGGTTTCCCCCGGATGGTCCTTCTATGATGAGTCTCAAATTCCGACCAAGATGTCCGGGAATTGCTGAAATCACACCCTTAATCCCTTATTTCCTGTGTTCATAATTATCTACCTCACATCTTCTATATATGTTGAATAAAAGATTTTTTCGTTCATGCAATCACGACATCAACTTTTTTCACGGAATTGTTTTGTACCTACAAAATACATGACAAAGTCCAAAGCCTCCTTTGTTCTTGAAAAAAAGATACTATAAACATACAATACAGACTAATCATGATCCCTTGAATAATTGATATGCAATAATGTTAAAAACCAAAAGAAGAGAAGAAAAAAAAACTGAATTTGAAGATTTTTATATATCATTAATCATTAATGTTATTCCAAAATCCCATGTGGAAAATATGAATTTTAACTTATGAAGCCAGTAAGCAAATGACAATAGCGACAGCTGAGCTTCATAAGTTAAAATTCAGAGCTTTTTATTGAAAAAGCAAACATATTAGTAGCTGTGGATTTGCAAAGTAGAAAACAATGCTAAGATAAAATTGAAATAAAGTTATATTACCTTTTTGAAGAGAGAGTTAAAGCACAAGTACTAACAATTCCAGCCATTCTTGGTTTGCAGACTGCAGTTCTAGTGTTCCTCTTCTACCTCGTTAGTTCTCTCTGTCTTGGCACTTGAGTCTCAGTTTGATTTGCTGGCGTGGCCCATGAAATTTAGGACGGGCAATGGGTTGCTGCCACGTGGTATCGTAGAATGGATATATTTCTAGAGCTCTCGGCTCTAGCGTTTGGGTTTATTTTATCTTATGGCATACGAATAAATTTGCTGAATTCAACATTGGGCCTAACCTAAGACATTAACTAAAACAAAACGAAATTCACTGTATCATATTGATCACTCTCCCTATTTTTATTAGTTATTTACTTTTTACTCACTTTAAAATCACTATTAATTTACTATTTGCATAAAAAAATTCACTAAAAAAATTCACTTTAATCTCTCTTTTTTAAAAACATTTTTTTGATTTAAAACTTTTATTTTTCGTTCGTTTAGTTACTTGCAAGTCTTGCATCCTAAAAGGAGAGAGGAGGAAGAGAGAAGGAAGGAGAGAGAGATGATTGGCGAAGCTTATTTTAGCTACCTCGATGGTCGATCTTACCATTAGTTTATTCTTCTTGAAGATTAGAATTTGTTTGTGGTAGTGGTAAGTGAGGAAATGATAAGAAATAGATCAAAAGTTCAAAATATTTTAAGTTTTTTATTTAAAATTTTATTTATTTTGTATGAATTTTGAGGTTCTAAACGAGTTTTTTATATTATTTAAGTGATTTTAAGGTGTTTTTGGACAAAAAAACGAGGTTGAATTTTGTTTTGAAAGGCTAGAAATAATAAAATTTGACTTTCCAATGACTTTGTAGTGAAATCGATTGTCAAAAAATGCAGATGTCATCGAAATGAAGAGGAACTTTTTTTTTTTTTTGCCAAGGCTCGTGCGGGGCCTAGTCCTCCAAGCCTAGGCATGTGGGTTGGGTCCTCTTGGCCCAAGTGCGAGGGCCGAAAGCTCTAGGCCTAGGCTTGCAGTGCCGGGTGTCTAAGTTTTTTTTATTTTTTAATAAGAAATTTTTAGGTAAATATTATGAAATATCGAACGTTATTATTTTTGTTTTTCACGTAGCGTGACGAAGATAAAATATTTATAATATTTTTTTATATTTTAAAATTAACGTATATTTTAGATTATATTACTCTTATTATGTAAAATTTATTCTTTGAATTTGTCATTTTTATGAAAATCCTCATCCAATTAATATTTGTTTAATAAAATTTTATTTATTGATAAATGTAATTTTTTTTCATATTTAAATTTTATAAAAAAAATTTAAAATAAAAATTTTCTCTTTTTTTTAATAAATAAATTGATATAACATATATCTTGGATTCTTAGAATATTTAAATCATAGTTGCTTATATATAAATATATAATTATTTAATCTAAAAGGTTAAAAGTGTATTTTAGAGAATTTGTCCTAATCCACTAAGTATGGTCAACACGTATAAAAAACTATTGAATCATCAGCTTTATTAAAAATAAATAATACATCTTCACACGTAACACCGACTATTTGCTATATTTAAAAAAAAAAACATTATAGAATCAATTTCTTTGAAATAAAATAATTAAAATATTTTTTTAAAAAGCCACCCAATTATTCAAACATAGTTTTTTATACCAACATTGTTGATTATTTTATAAATAAAAATATATAGATCAAATGCATATACTTTTAAAAAATAAACATCTTATCAGCACTAAATAAGAGTACAATTTTTTTATTAGTTAATTTTTATATAAGTCTATGGAATTTTATTTTTTGAATGCATTCTTATGAAAAATATATTTTTAAAGTTTATTTTTTAATTCTTAATTAATATTTTAATTTAAATTATTACAAGCTTTTATTTGAGAATATATGCATAAAAAAGAATAAATTATTTTTTTTAAAAGTAAAATATTTAAAAAAACATAAAATACAAATAAATAAAAAATTTAATAAAAAATTATAAAATTTTGAAATAATTTTCTTTTGCTCGATGGGCAATGTAGCGCGGGTAATCGACTAGTACAAAAAGTAAAAGAGAGCCATTGAAGTGTCCAAACATGGGCCCTCAATATACCAAAGCCTATTACAAGTTAATTAATTATCCAGCTCCATAAATGTTAGAAAATAATAATTTGAATTAATATAAGGTTATATGGTCCAAACCTCTCTAGAATTTTAAGTCATTTGATAATTAGTTTTTTACTTTTTAAATTTAAGATTGGATTTTTCTTTAAATTTCATATTGGATTTTTATTTAATTTTTTTTATTATTTAAAATTAGGTTTTTCTATTAAGTTTCTATCAATTTTAATGATGTAAGTACACGTGACTTGCACGCGATTGACTTTTTAACTTCTCCACCAGACTAAAAATGTATAAAAACTTACGGATATTTTGTTTTTGTTTTTTTTTTCCCCATAAAAACTTGTTTTCTTCTATTCTATAGTGTAATCTAATTGCTAGCTTTTTAACATTTAGGATAGAGAAACAACTTTTGGAGAAAAAAATTATCCATAAGTTTTGATATGTTTTTAATTGTTGAAAAAATACATTTGCACATTAAAATTGACGAAAACCTAATAAAAAAATTATTATTTTTTTTAAAAAGTAGTTGGAGGGAGATTCAATCCAAAATTAAAAATTAAAAAAATGATTCTCAAATAACTTAAAAATTTAGAAAAAATTATACCATTTTACCTTAGTATAAATATATATTATGAATGAAACAAATTCATTAATGAAAGAAGGAACCGAGCCAATGCCTGTAACAAAGCTTATTTACAAAACAAAAGCGAGAGATGTTAAACAAGCTCTCAAGTATAGCGAATATCAAACAGAAAAGGTTTTTACTTGTTGCTATACAAAGTTTGAGAAAACTACAAATTTAGTGCCCAACCTTTGATTTTGGTTTTGTTTTGGAGTCTAACCTTTTATTTCTTATTATTGGCTACCCAACTTTTGATTTTTTTTTTCTATTTTGATACCTCCAGAGCCAATACACTGTAACAAAGCTTATTTACAAAACAAAAGCGAGAGATGTTAAACAAGCTCTCAAGTATAGCGAATATCAAACGGAAAAGGTTTTTACTTGTTGCTATACAAAGTTTGAGAAAACTACAAATTTAGTGCCCAACCTTTGATTTTGGTTTTGTTTTGGAGTCTAACCTTTTATTTCTTATTATTGGCTACCCAACTTTTGATTTTTTTTTCTATTTTGATACCTAAAATCGTCCGTGACATAATTTTAATGATGTGTCCAATGAAAGCTAACACGTGGCTTTTTTGAGTGCACGTAGCGGTTAAAAAATGACACGTGACGGTTAATTTAGACATATCAACATTTTTTTTTATCTTGGGTGACTATGGGCACTTAACTAAAAAAAATCAAAGATTAGACACTAAAATGGAAAAAAATATATATATTAAAGGTTGAGCACTCGAAACAAAAAAAAACTAATAATAATTTTTATTAACTTTCATTAACTAATTAAAAAAAAAAGGAAGAAAATTTGTCAAAACCTACACCCTTCCCATCCTATCATCACCCACAACTACAAAAAAACCCTAGTTGCCATCTCCTTCTTCCTCCCCTACATACATTCATCCTCTCTCCCTTTTTGCCGCCAACCAACACTCATCAAGCCACACACCATAGCTATAACACCCCGATTTAAGACATTCCCGCATATCTATATGTGTTTATTTTGATCTCAAATATATATGTGTGCTATATGTATGTTTTGTTAAACATGTAAATAATTATGTTTAAGATATGAACAAATACGTGTTTTAGACTTGTATGAAATTATGCTTAAGTTTGTTTTATTACTTATTTAATTTTAATGACTAAATTATTAAGGATTAAAGGTATGCGTGAGGATTAAGGGTTGGAATATTAACACATTTTAATAAAGGAAATCTAAATAAATTGTGAAGTTATAATGATTATTTTCATTAAATGAATATAAGTTAGAAAAATTTCATACCCATTTTAATTAAAAGGTGGACGTACATATATAAATTAAGTAAGCTTATGTGGAAAATGTTAATTATTTAAATAGATAATGACACGAGGATTAGTGTCTCACGTTCATTGTACTAAGAATATGAGACATTGTCGGTAATACTCTCGACTTACTTAGGTCTTAGGTTGAGGGAGTTACAATAGTTGTTGCCACCACCAACATTGCTTTTTTTCTAAAAAAATATACCACAAATGACAATCACTCTAACTCGTCATCTCCCGCCCCAAACTATCAGCCACCATGCCCTTCTCCTTCCTTGAACCACCATAGTTACCACTACCAAAACCCCACGCAAAAGTAGCCATCACTAAAATCTCACACAAAACTAGACATCAAAAACCTACACCAATGCTCGCCATCTCCATCAAGGCTCGACCCATACACTACCACCTTAATCTATCCTTCCCTAAACTTTCATTAATGTTGTGATGATCCAAAGAAGAGGAAGATGAAAAAGAAGAAGAATTGGTGGAATTGAAGATATGAGAAGGAGGATTAAGGGGACCGAGGGCTAGGGAAATCGGTTAGATTCTTTATTCATTCACCTTCGAGTCTACTTCAATTGCTTCAATTGAAGCGAGAAAGACATAATTGATTGAGCTATTTTGATGAATATTAGGGTTATAGAATTGGAGATTTTAGAGATTTGATTATGGGAAATATCATTATTATTATTATTATTTTGCAACTTCTTTTGTTATGTGTTGAGCATTAAGTTATTATTGGTACGACAGAAGTGAAGTTGTTGATTAATTTAGTTGGATTTGGAAGAGGAAAAGATACTAATATTGGTTTTGGCAATTTCCACCAAAAATACTATCATCTCCACCAAAAAGTTCCTTGTGTACTATTGAAAAGTCATTTTGTTGCTTGAAAAGAGACAAACATGAGTTTTATAGTGCCGAGAAGAATTCGACACCACCTATTTCATTTTCATGAAGTCGCAAGATAAATTCATTGACTTTGACATTTTTTTAAAACTAATTAATGAAAATTAATAAAAATAATGATGATTTTTTATTCACTTAATTAAATTCAGTTTACAGACGTTTGTTTGTTTTTTGTTTGTTTTTCTATTTCAGTGCCCAATGTTTTTTTTTTTTTTTTTTTTGCATTTTTTTTGCACATTGGAAGCGGATACTTGCAGAGATTTGTGACAATTTACATTTAACTCTTAATTGGTGATACGCTTGTTCTGCCAGCCTGAGACATTACATGTACTAACTTGGAATTGAGTGGAAAATGTCGAAGGTGACACTGGGAATTACCGAAAGTCAGCACCCTCGTCCAAGGCACCCAAGTCTGATCACTTAGTTGAAACAAAGCGCATAAGAAACTGTATGAGGTTTTCTCCTATCCTCACCAGCCTAAGCAGTCCTAAAGCTTACACATTCACCATTGAAATGAATTCACTGTTCTCGTTATCCAAAAATAAAAGTAAAAATTATATTAATTATACATAGGTCCATTAATTATTTATTGTATCTTATTTAAATTCCTTGTACTCCACCTATGCATTACTCGTGCTGTACAAGAAGAAAATTCCAAGTTAATATCAGATAGCATTGATTAGATAAAAATAAAAATAAAAAAGTTGATTGGATGGAAATATAAGGGAGCATTTTATTATTACAATTATAGTCCTGTGAAAAAACAGTTGGTTTTATGTTGTGTTAATTGGTAATTTTGTACAAGGATGACTTGTTTTCAGGATTGAACACTTGTATCCAATCAGTGTGGCCCTTTTGCGCAAATGCCTTTCATGTTATCTTCTTTCTTTTGTATATTCTTCACTTTCGTACTTATTGACTGATAGGTTTAGTCCTCGACAAACCTGTCACAAACATTTAATTATAAAAAAAAGGGTGCTATTGCAACTGTTTAGAGAATGATGACTGATGAGAACTAGTCATTAACACCAACTTTTGACTAAGAAATTTTAAGGATAAGGAACGACTTGTTTAAAGCAACATAGACTTTCATGTAAGTTGAAGAAAGAAATAGTTAGTGAAATTAATAAATTAGTTGCATCACTCACAGAGGGAGGAAGCACAAAAAATGGGGTTCTTCTCGTCCATCTGTTGCTGCTTTTATCGTCCTCCTCGCATAGCCGGCGATGAAGTGGTAGGAGTGGCCAGGCAGCCTCCCAGGCCACAATTCATTGAATCTGATGCTCGTGTACCAATTCTAGTTCCGCACTTCCCAGTGAATTCAAATCTCTCTCATTTGTAATTTTTCTTTCTTTCCACTTTCAGCATATATATTACCCTGTGGTAAATTCATGGAGTCTTATTGAGTAGTTTGCACTCTCTATTATGCATCATATAAATTTTAATATATACTTTGCTGTTTAGATCGAAAATACGATGTATTGATATCAATTTAATTAGCTGTCTGAATTAATTTTGAATCCATGCATGAAACTGATCTCTAGCTGGGATCAATCCAAAGATTTAACTTTGCCTTCTGAATCCATCATGTCATCCTATGTGCATGGAACTCTTAGACAGCTATCCTCCTATATATGAGAAATCACTGCACTAGCTATAAAACTACGAATTCGTTAAATTTCAGTTTAAAGTAATGAAAATGAATATTTAATTCGGAAGACTTCGGAATTCATAAAAACTAGCACATCGAATGGAAGTAGTATAGTGGAATATATTAAGAATTACTTTTTCCTCATCAGTGCCTGTTAGTTAACAAGTTTATTAATTAGTACTTGTAGTATTCTTTTCTTCTGCGAAGGAAAAATCTCACTGATTTTTTTTCTGGATGAAATTCTATTAATAATTACTTACTATTTACTGATTAATTAACAATAGTCATGAGAAATAGTCATTTTGAATCATAGTGGTGATGTCATTTTTCATATTCATTATCAAATTAATATCATTGTTACATAATCAATATATAATTCAACAAATCCTTCTTCATACTTGCTCTTAGTACAATTATAATGTATTTTTGAGTTGGATGTGGATCCTAATACAAGACACCAATTTATCTGCTTAATCACTAACAAGTATCAATCTTTCAGGAAAAAGAAAAATGAACATTGAATTTTTTTTTTTTTTAGATAATGGCAAAAATTGTTATATGATCAATTGATAAAACAATATCATTAACCCAATTAAATCGGAAAAATCCCTCAAACTCCAGAGATTTTTTATGAGATTGATACGGACCTCACCATTCACCAATGCCCGAAGATGCTCCAGTGATGAGCACAACTTTTACAGCCACGTTTTCGCTGAATATGGATCTTTTTATGTAACTTCGAATCTTGAATGCAAGATATAGTGGTAAGGTTATTAGGAGCAAAATGATTGTTAAAAGAGGATGTACAGCATTGTGAACCCAATCCATGGCCATAATACTTCTTCAAATTGAGAGAGAAGGGAGAAATTGGCCCTTCGGAATCAAAATCCAATTACAATGTTGGAAAGAAGCCAAGGATTTTGTATCCAGTAAACTTCAGGCACCCCTTTAATTTTAAAAAATGTGGTCGGTCCAATATATACATATAGATAATGAATATATAAAATTTAGCTATTTCTAATCACGTCACTATCCTGTAACTACTGCTTAATCTTTATTTATTAAAAAAAAAAAAATCTGAACAGTTATTTGCTTAAAAAGAATTATTGCTCTGGAATCAATATCCAATAGATCCACGAGCAGTGGTTGCAACAACCTGATCACTTGGCATTGAATCTTTACTCTGTTATTAATTTGCCAAAAAAAATTGTCCTAGTTGTTTGATGCTTTCTTTTATCCTCACCATCATAATTCTAATCCTAAATTTTGATGCCTCATTTGGAGTAGAAACGAGATTTCCATGGAACCTGTCATGCTGTACAAGAAAAAATAATCTAAGTTAATATCAGATGATGCTAATACTTGATTAGATCAAAGTAAAAGGCTTGAATTAATGAAAAATATAAGGGGACATTTTATGATTATAATTAAATATAGTGTTGTGAGAAAGATTTGATTGTATGCCATGTTAGCTTCTATTGCTCTGCTCTGCCACGTTTGTTATATATGTTTTAAGATGCTTTTGTTCAGGATTGCTCTTGTATCCCATCAGAGTGGCACTTTTGCGCATATATATATATATATATATATATATATATCTTCTTTGTGTAGTCTTCAACCCTTTTCTTACTGATTGACCGATAGGTTTAGGTTCCGACAAACATCTCACAAACATTTATCAACAACGGTAGACCAAAAGGAGATATTGCAATAGTTGGAACTTTGAAGTAGGGATTGACGGATGAGAACAAGTCACTAACAAGAGCGCTCGACTAACAGAATTTAAAGATACATGTTTTAAGCAACAGAGACTTTCATGTAAGTTGAAGAAATAGTTAGTGAAATCAAATTAGTTGCATCACTCACAGAGGGAGCACAAAAAAAAAAATGAGGTTCTTCTCGTCCATCTTCTGCTTTTATCTTCCTCCTCTCGCAGCAGTGAAGAAGTGCTAGGAGTCGTTAAGCTGCCTTCCAGACCGAAATTCGTTGAGTCTGATGCTCGCGCACTAATTTTAGTTCAATACTTCCCTGTGACTTCGAACCTCATTATTATTCCATATACTAAAAGTGGACGGAGTTTCATTGTAACCAAACCTCTGTTACAATGAAACTAAAATGGCATCGTTTTGAGTTTTTGGACTCCAACGATGTCGTTTTTTTTTAAAAAAAAAAGTGATTTTTTATAAATTTTTAATATTTTACATTTTCATCCTCCAAGTGATTATTTTATATAACATAATTCTTAATTTTAATTAATATTACAAGAAGGTCCTTATAATTTTTTTTGCCGGACTATTTTTTTCATTAATTATTATTTAATCAAATTAATTTTTTCTCATGATTAATAGTTACTTTTTCTATTTTTATAAATATTCATTAACTAAAATTGAATATCCTTCTAATACAAATTGATGAAGCACCTCCTTCTAATTTGATTTTTTCCAAATAATTAATTAATTACATGTATTTTTTATTTATCAAAATAAAAAATATTCCTAAGATATATTTAAATTTAATTATATATACTTATGAAATTAAACAATTTTTTTACAATGAGTGTTAATTAATTTTTATTTTTTAATTATTTAAAATATTAAAACATAGATATAATAGACTTATCCAAATTACAGAGCAGTCTTGTCGTTTCTCAGCATCTTGCCACCTTTTACAAAGTTCATGGAGTCAGGAAGCAATAAGTTTGCACTCTATTACGAATCATATAAATTGTAAGATTCTGCTGCTTATAGTTCAAAAAGAACGATGTACCGATTCAAGTTAGTTGTTTGAACCTTGAATCAGTGAAACTCTCTAGCTAGAATCAATTAAAAGATACAAGCTTGCCTTCTGAATCCCTCATGTACTGTTTTGATGTGTCACAAACAAAATTATGAACATCTAAACGAACGGGTTTGACAAAACCAGTCTCCCTTTGGTACTATAATTATAATCACACAAGTAATTTAGTATACTCCTTAAGAAACCATATAATGGGAAAGATGATTCTGTCAATCACACCTCTTAACACTTTTCAGCAGTAGCTTAATCATTATTGTTGTGTCCGTTTTGATTTGGTTAATGATAAAAGCAGTTGTCTCAAACTCGGAGAAAAAAAACATAGAACAGATGACTAAACTGCCAAAACACATTTATTCAAATCATCCATCCAGACCTAAAAAGTAAAATCCAAGAAAAAAGAACCAAGAGTATGATTTCATCTCTGAAAACATACAGCAATTCAGCATACAGCGATAACTGCTCTCCCATTAATTTGCCAATATCTTCATGTTTATCAACAGTGTCGAGAAATTATCCCTCAACAGTGGATCTTTTCTTGGTAGTGTAGGGGTAATACTCCTTGCCAGTGTCTATTCTTGTGGTCTGACCTCCAGAATCAATGAGTGCAGAAGTAACAGCAAGTGCTGCTCCAGCTGAAATAGCTGTTTTGATGTTTCTTCCTGCAAATGAGCAACAATTCAATTACTTATATTGGCAAACTAACAATTCAAAACAATAGGAAAAGATCTAAAAAACTTAACATGCAGTTGAGAATCAATCAAGAGCTAAAAAAGATCAGCATGGAAAATGAACAGGTAACTTGTATGCTCTTTGGAATTGTGAGGATTTAAGACCAAGAAATGGAAAAAACATCATTCAGAGAGTTCATAATATAAGACCATGAACAGGTAACATGCAGGCGATTACAAAATTTAACATGAATTCTGGTAATTTAAAATTATGATCTCTCCCCAATCCCTCCCATTTCTCGAAGGAACATGCATTTGCATACAATATCCATGCCAGTCTTCAAAATCTCTAAGGTCGGAAGTAATGAGAGGGCTGTCAATGATTTACTAATAGCTTTTACCTTGGACTCATAATAAACTAAGCGAAGCAAAATGTCAGTGGATTTGAAGGATCAACAAGATAAAACTTTTACAAGTGTTTCTTCTTCAGATCGGATGTTTTCTCCCTAACATGAACCAAGAAACCTGAGAATTCTGATCAGCTAATCTATTAGCCTCATATCCATTTGCCTTCCACGGTCTTCCATCCCATCTAGAATTAATTGGCATTATTGTTTCAACTTTTATTTTCCAAAATTCTGAGGAAAGACAGCTCATCAATTGCTTTCAAGCACATGAATTCGGGAAGGATAACCGCCAATGATGGTTGAAAACAAATTAATTTGTGCAAATCTAGATATGCTATAAATAATGGAATAGAAAACATTAGAATTCAGCTATTTTCTGTCCAGTTTACCGATTACCACCAATGAGAAATTCACATGGTGAAAAGGCCAATACTGAGCATGCATGACCACCACATAAACTTTCTTACTTGCAATAAACTGAAACAATGAAAAGAGGTTGATGAATACCTAGATTTGTTAAGTTCACATAGTTTAAAATCCTCAAACCAAATCACAAAACCTTAATAATAAGATCTGGTTTATCATATCCAACTCTAGATTATTCCATTTGGAATCCCCTTGGGATTAATGAAGCCACAGATCCATCAACCCATATCCACTCCACAAGTAATAGATATTATACGATAAATTTGGCCATTTCTAACAGCTCGCACTATAAACTCAAGGATTAGGCAATGAAAAACAAGGAAAATCTCGTAACAAAATAACTATTTTCTCTGAAACATAGAAGTTGTTCTTTATACAGTAAATGGAATGAGAATGCCTCAAAAGGATATATGTACCACATAAAGCATAAGGGGCGAAGCTTCTAGGATACACAGTATGGTTACCACAACCAGCATAAAATTCCAGAATGAAATAGCTTGCCTAACATATCAAAGACATGTTCGAGCTGCTTTGAAAACTTAATTTCCTGTCACCAAACTTTAAATAGCAACCTTTTTATCCACTAATTACATCATATCAGATTTTACTGAATCCTTTTATCTTCTTTGAGAATAGTAAGTTGAATTACAAATATGACTGTATCACCGCTCTCAAAATAAAATAAAGCTCTCAAAAATAAATAAATAAATAAATGAAGCAAGATTAGAAACTTTGAAGAGTTAGTTTTGCTACATGACAAGTTGAACTGAACTATTGATAAACTATATCCATATACAAAAGGATTTCCCTGTGTACTTTTTTCCACACCGAGCACTTACAACCAATCTCAATAACTCTAACAAAGACACCTAAAAATATCACACAGAATAACCCTCACCTTTGAAGCCCAGTACAGGAGCTCTTGCAAAGAAACCACCAACAGCTCCATTTACATAAACTCTTGAACCAAAATCACAGAACCTCAACACTAGACCAGTTTACAGTGTCCTATACTATATTTTGTTCCCTTTCAGAACCCCTGTAGATAGATGAAGCTTCAGACACACCAATATGCATCCTCTGCAAAAACTAGGTCCTATATGATATGTAGGCATTTCTAATTCGTTGCACTATATGCACAGGATTACACAAGTGACAAACAAAGAAATAAAGCTCAAGAAAACAAATGTTTTTCTTCTGGAACATACAAGTTCATAATTATCCTGTATGAGAAATGAAATGTCTCAAAAAGATATGATGGAGAAATGATACATGAAGGTACTAGTGTACTAGGATACCCATTATGTTCACTCCAACCAACTTAAAGTCCATGCTGCGGCAGTTTCCCCACTAGCTAATCAAAGACATGCTCCAGCTGGAAAATACTACCCTTATTATGTCTTCTACCACTCACCAAACATGGAGCAAAACTATGTCTTCTTCCACTCATTTGCTTCATATGTAAAGATGGTCAGTAGGATCAAAGCACATATATATTCTATTGTGTTCACTAAAGTGATCATAAAGATCTCAAGAAAGTTACCAGGTTCCAAAATTTGAAGAGTTAGTTTTGCTTCATTGTAAGTTAAAAGGAAATGTGAATCAAATACATCTAAATAAGATCAAATTTCTCAATGCATTACTTTCCACACCAAGCCACACACTGCCATGCTCAATGCCATTAACAACAAATGAATATCAGTTCTACCAAAAAAAAAAAAAAAAATCAACATAAAAAAAAAAACAAAAGCACCAATAAAAAGTAATAATGAAGCTTACCTTTGTATCCTAGAATGGTAGCTCCAGAAACGAAACCACCAACAGCTCCATTAACAAAATCTCTCTTCATCCTATAATGCTGCACAAGCTGCTCCACACCAATGTAAACACCACCAATCGCAGCAAAAGTCAAGCCATGGTTACCCATCATCTTGAGTGTCCTTATCAATCCGGGAAGTGCAACGTGTTTCTCAACACGAGGCACATCATACCAAGTTGCAACAATAGTCCCCCATATAGTTCCGGTAACCAAACCCATAGTCGCACCCTTGATTGTTTTCATCGTCGGAGTATCATCATCCTCCAAATACCTCATTTCGTTTGGATCCATCACTATTATCTCCTAACTGGCCCCACCCCAAAATTACAAACAAAACCAAAAGTTAGCATTTTCCACCACAGTTAAAGAAACCAAGAAAATCCCACATTATTAAAAAAAAAAAATAGTAGGCAAAAAAGTTGATCTTTTATGAGAAATTTATAACCCAGTTGAAATTACTTATTGGTTAGGAAAAGAGAGAGAGAGAGAGAGAGAGAGAAGAAGATGATATAGTGACTGCTTGATAAGTGAAATCAGGCAAGGCAAAGATCAGATTTGAGATGTTAAAGCAAACCCTAGAGAGATGCAGAAATGATGGATCCAAGTGAATTGGAAACCTAACTAATTTGAAATTTAGAGCTTAAAGAGATGAAATTTACCTTTCTGATTGTTGTTCTGTCGAAGAAGCAAGAGAGGGGGAGAAGCAGAGGGAGGGCTGCACTGTGCAGAAGAAATGATTTTGGAGTCGGAATTTACACATCACCTGCTTCTTGTGGGTCTAATGGCAAAAACTGTCCCCGTTTTATTCTAATTTGGCAATTTAGGCCTTTTACAATAGATTTGCGTAATTTAAACCTTAAAATATCAGTTTTTGAACATATATTATCCAAATTATTTTTTTTTAATAGTCAACTTGGTTGACCAATTTTTTTTAGCTATTAATTTAAAAAAACATTAAAAATGTTTTTCTTTCACTTTTCAAGAAAGATTCTTTATATTTAAAATTTCTACATATTAATCCTTTTGATTTTTCATAAACAATCAAATTGTTATTGTTTTTTGTATATAATTTTTTAATTTAAAAAAATTAAATTTATATAGTACTATTATCTATTAAAACAATCAATTTCTATAATTAATGAAATACAAATATCTCGTTGGTTGAATTAATCATTTAAAATTATCAAATAATTAATTTTAACTAAAAATTATCTTTTATCATGCAAATAAAATTATTCTTGTAGTTATTAATTATTAAATTTTAAATATAATTGTATTTATTTAATATTTTTTTATCTTCACATGTTTTATAGGATTTTATATTTTCATAATTGATTCAAATATATAACATGCATTTAAAATTGTTAGAGTTAGAAAATCATTTTTTTTAAATTTTCTAATTTTATTTTATTTTTATTTTTATTTTTATTTTTTAAAGATAGGTAAAAGTAAAAGCTCTTTTTTCAAGAAAAATAAAAAAAATAGTGATAAATTTAATGAAAATTTTATATTTATTTATAAGTAAATGGATGAAAAAATTATCTTGAATAATGAAGGAAAAGCATTTTCAATGTTTTAAAAAAAAAATTAACGACAAAAAAAAATTAATAGCAAAAAAAAAATTAAGAGTCAAATAATGAGAAAAATATGATTTGGATAATATTTGCCTAAAAACGGATATTTTGGGGTTCAAATTACACAAATTGTTAATAAAAATTTGAAATTGTCAAATTACAATGGAACGTTAGCAATTTCTACCATTAAATCGCTTCTTGTGTCACTACATCGACTGACTTAGCTGTATTTACCATATTACTCTGTCTTTGTCAAATAATTGCTTTTAACGGTTCATTTTAAGTGATTTTTTTAATGATTAGCCGCATAAAACATCCATCTATTATTTTGATCGTTTTAATATGGCTCTTGTACTTATTTTTTTATTTATCACTTCTCTCTATTCTTGAATTTTTCTTAATATGGCTTTGTATTGTTTTTTTTTGGCTAATTTTCTAATTAAAACTAAAAATTAGCATAAAAAATCAACATAAACACATCGGACTAACCTTTCACATGGCTAAAATGAAAAAACCCAAAAAAAAAACTATTTTTGCAAAAAAGGAAAGAAACTAGGTATAAAAACACTAAACTTTTCTCTCTCTAGCTCCCTCTCTATCAAAACCAAAAACTAGAATCCTTATTTATCTTTCTCTTCTTTGATTTTCTTTGTTGGTGAGATTCTTTTTTCACAAACAAATACCAACCTATTGTAGTTCAAATTCTTCCTTTTCTCATCTCTCCTATACTAAAAAGCTTGTAATTTATCTTATCATTTGTCAAAACTCTAAAATTTCCATATCGATTTTGTCATATCTCGTAAATCCTAAATAAGATGGCTCATCGTCTCCATCCTCAACATGTAGAAAATTGAGCCATCCTCGGCATGTAGAAAACCGAGTGATGGAATAAATTCGACATCCTCTACTTTCACCAATGAATCTAAAGACGAAAGATTTAGTCCGATTTGCGTTATTTCATTACAAATCTTTGAATTGAACTATAAATAGTCTAGTATGATATGTCAATATGGTTTGAAAATTATATAATGGATGTCATAGAGTGATAAGTATTCAAGTTCTAGGTTTCATCTATATCATATACGGTTTGTCCATGATGGTAATAAAAAGTTTGGTTGTGGTTATTGGATGTGGAATGATGATTTCATATAAGGCAACGCTAGAATAATTGTTTTGGGGATGAAAAATAAGCAAACACGGACTTATAAAGAGAAAATTTTGTTGCTATAGGAAAACAACAAATTAGTTTTAAAGGTTGGAAGGTTGAAAAATGAGTTAGATTCTGGTTTGATAGAAATGAAGAGTTAATGATTGAGATAGCAACATAAAAAACAAAGAAAGAATGCTTGATTTTGACAATGTAAAAATTAAGTAATTACAATGATAAGTTGTTGAATTTCTATCAAATATGAGTGGTTTTGGTTCTAATTTTGTTGACTATGTAATTACAATGTGCAAGTATATATATTTTTGTAATGACATTAGTTTGAAATGCAAAAATTGTTTTTAAATAATAAATTTGGTTTCAATTATTTTTGGAATGGTTTATTGTTTTGGTTTCAATTATTGCTTGGAATGGTATAGGATTGTTTAGGTTCCATGGTCTTGCATCGAATTGTATAACATGTTTAAAATTTAACAATATTTTAAAGCCTAAGAAAAATACTTATTCAATATACAACATATATGAAGATCAACTTGTCGATTCATTATTCACATACAACAAATATTAAGCATAAGCATGAGTTTTAGAAATTAATTAATATCAATGTTCATATAAAATAAGTGAAGGACTTAAAACTGAAATTCAATGATGAAATTCAATGCTAAAAGGTTACAAAAGAAACTACTAATAGGCAAGAAATTAATCTTCTTGTTCATATATTTTTTAAAAAAGAGGTACGTTGGAAATTTTATTAATTAAAAGAGAAAAATTACAAGGGAAGGACAACCCATTATATCACCATAAGCGGAGGGGATAAAGAGATCTAATCCTAAAAAAATAATTCAATTATGTCATATTCGATAATTATAAAAATCATATTTATCATGTTGATAGGTAGTTCTAATCTCTACGGGTAAGTACTTATAATTGGAAAAAAATATGTATGTCTTTATGTCCATATGCCGCATTCGCTAGTCTATTAACTACCAAGTTTTGTTGTCTCATAACATGCAAAAATTCATGTAATGCTTGTAAAGCTCTAAATTGGTGTATCTCATAAGAATGTTGCCATAGAGTATTGATTATACGTTGGATAGCTTGTGTTGCTATTAAAGAGTCGAATCTACCTTAACTAAAATTAAAGCTAAATTCTTACATAAATTCAATATGTCCATTAAGGTTAGAAACTCTCCTTCCATGTTAGTTTTTACATGATAGTCATTAGTGCATCTTATATTTATGGCCAAACCATTTGTATTTAATTTATAAGTATTAAGTGGTGGAGGATTCTATTTCAGCCACATACCTCTATTAATCTTGTTCATATAATGCCATTACATGGTAAAGATTATATAAATACAAAAAACTTTCTTGTTCAAGCCATATTTTATTTTTACACACCAATCACGTAGATAAATGAAATCTCTTTCTTAAGTTCCAATTTCATAATTTTTCTTTCTACCCCTTCTATTTAAAACTCCAGATATTTTTGTATATTTTCTTTTTTTGTACTGCAATAATTTTACTTGTTTAGTGTCTAGATTGCATATAAAAAATATTGTATGTAAACATCATATGAAAAAAAAAAACCTAAATTTCTTAAAGCAAACAACCAATAACACTTACATAAAAAAAAAAAAAATCATGCAATCTAACTTGATAATAAAACATCATTTTTCAACTTAGGGTTTCTTGTTTTTTTTAGTACTTGATCCGGTGTTAGGAGATTGGTTGCTTGGAAGTACTCTTATTAAGTAATGTATTCTTAGACCTTCAAGCATTGGATCTAGTGTTAAGGAATTTGGTTCTAGGGTTAACTTCATCAACAACTAAGTTTTTACCTATGTTGACAAGCATACATCTTCTTTCTTGAACTTTCATTAACTTTAGTCTTGTTAGATATATCGACATCATCCTCTCTTGTGGGGGCATAAATGTTCTCATGTGTTTGTATCTTCTGATGTGTCATAACATGAATTCAAACATATATGTGTTTTTGTGTATAAACTCATTAAATTATGAAATGTAAAACAAAATCTACCTTTGCTTTTCGACTTTTTAGTCTTGCATCCCAACTTCCTCATTCTTGTTGTGAATTTGCAATCAAATGAACCTAAAATAAAACAAAGAGATTATTAGTATTATAAAATCATTGGATTATGAAACGTTAAACAAAAACAAAAAATATATACTTATAAACTTTCAAACCTTTCTTTTGGGATTTTTAAGGCATGTCGGGCCTTATGACCTTATGTTTAACACATCTAACAAGTCATTTTTCTCTATTTTTACATATACTAACACCACTTTTTTCTTCTCATACTTCTCTTATTCTTTTCTTTTTCTATTTTTTAGGTATTTTAACAATTTTTGAAGGATAAATGGCTAGCAACCTAATTCTTGACCAAAACTTTTCACTATTGACAATACCAATGAAATACTAATAAGATTTTATAAATCTTTCTTTTGAATACCACTTATGGACATATTCTTTAACTCTCTATTTTGTTAACTTAATTATAACAAAATGGATGCTCACAAGGGATACTAAA